GGGGTTGGATGGACATACGAAGACTTTCAATTTCTAGGTTTCAGAGTAACAGCCATGTTAGTCTGTATTCGCAAAAAGAAAAGGAGGACTTGTGGCACCTTAGAGACTAACCAATTTATTTGAGCATGAGCTTTCATGAGCTACAGCTCACTTCACCGGATGCACATGCACATCCGATGAAGTGAGCTGTAGCTCACGAAAGCTCATGCTCAAATAAATTGGTTAGTCTCTAAGGTGCCATAAGTACTCCTTTTCTTTTTTCAATTTCTAGTTATACATGGTGGGCGATGTAATATCTTTTATTGACCCAATGTCTGTTGGTGAGAGAGACAAGCTTTCAAGCCACACAGAGCTCTTCCTTCAGTTGTGGCTCGAAAGCTTGTCTCTCTCACCAACAGACACTGGGTCAATAAAAGATATGACCGCACACCCCTTGCCTCACTAACATCCTGTGACCGACACGGCTACAGCAACACTGCATAACATTTCTAGTGATGTCCATCTGGCATTTTTCAGAAATGTTACATTCACTTTCTAAATTAAAACAAAACAAAAAAACCTCCTACTACAATCTAACAATTTTAAAACCCCACGACCCAGTTTGCAGAGAGTAGAGCAGACGACTACACAAAGTTGCACAGATAAGACTCACCAATTCATTACTTGCGTCTTGCATGATTCAGGTATTTGAAATATTACTTTTAATTGAATTTGGACTTAAGTTAGAAACCTTGAAAAATCTGCCTCTGCCAAAGTTCACTACATTTCCTTATTGGTTTGATTTATGTAGGCAGAGATGGCCACAAAAGAATATTCTGAGTAACTACAGCTATATCAAATTACAATTTTAAATGACTAATTTAGCTATATCTAAATCCTTTAACTGAAGACTTTAGTCTGAAACATACAGAAGATGATCAAAGTAGTGAGATCAAAGAAAACTCTTTGCATTTATACCATGCTTTGCTAAATATCAGAGAAATACATTTTATAGTAAAAGTTTTTTTTTTAAATCATGTAATATATGTAAAACCAAGCCTGACAGGTCTCAATAATCGTATCAATTTCCTGATAATTACTTAAAAATTAATGAGTTTTATATGCTCTTCATTTGCCTGAAACCTACTGGTCCAATCCTGCAGACTTACTGATACAAGCAGTTTCATTCAGCTCAACGGGACTGCTTCTCCGAGTAGGCACTTAAGGATCAGGCTCTTTGCATGGGTCTAATCAAGTGTCTACTAAGAAAACCATATGTAGGACTTGGGATGCAAGGAAGTGCACAGTGTCAGTGTGTTATGAACAATTAGAGGAAAGCTATATTTATCTGCCCTCCCCCAAAATACTAGTTTGTAAATCAGGCTTTTATTAAGACAGTAACAAATTTATCAATACATTTCTGTTCCCTTTAAACCTCTACTCTCTAGCCCACCACAAAGCTGAAATGTAGCATTGATCATTCTTTATGGAAGACTGCTATAATGATTCTGCATTCTGGCAAATCTCAGTTCATATATTTTCCCTTTTGGCTGCTGGTAGTTACATAAATTAGAGCATTACTCAGGTCTCAATAACTTATGGTGAGGGACAACTAATGCAAGACTGGACCCACACCTGAGGGTTGTTCTGTCTTAATTCTTATCCACAGGGCATTTTCAAGGTTTATTATGGTTTCATCTACTACTACCTTGCCACAAAAAGTGGGACTGTGCTAATAAAATCTGTGGATGACACAAAGTTGGGAGGTATTGGCCATATGAGGATGACCAGAATATCATATAAAAAGATTGGGATGACCTTGAAACCTGAAGTAATAGAAATGAGATTAAATGTAATAGTGGAAGATACAAGGGCATGCACTTAGAGACTAATAACAAGAATGTTTGCTATAAACTGGGGATTTACCAATTGAAAATGACAGAGGAAGAGAAAAACCTGTGTGTAACTGATTGATCACAGGATGATTATAAGCCATCAATGTGATATGCTGTCATAAATATAAAGGGAAGGGTAAACACCTTTAAAATCCCTCCTGGCTAGAGGAAAAACCCTTTCACCTGTAAAGAGTTAAGAAGATAGGATAACCTCGCTGGCACTTGACCACAATGACCAATGAGGAGACAAGATACTTTCAAAGCTGGATGTGGGGGGAGAAACAAAGGGTCTAGGTCTGTCTGTGTGATGCTTTTGCTGGGGACAGAACAGGAATGGAGTCTTAGAATTTAGTAAGTAATCTAGCTAGGTATGTATTAGATTATGATTTCTTTAATGGCTGAGAAAAATACACTGTGCTGAATGGAATGGATATTCCTGTTTTTGTGTCTTTTTGTAACTTAAGGTTTTGCCGAGAGGGATTCTCTATGTTTTGAATCTAATTACCCTGTAAGGTATTTACCATCCTGATTTTACAAAGGTGATTCTTTTTTACTTTTTCTTCTATTAAAATTCTTCTTTTAAGAAACTGAATGCTTTTTTCATTGTTCTTAAGATCCAAGGGTTTGGGTCTTTGGTCACATATGCAAATTGGTGAGGATTTTTATCAAACCTTCCCCAGAAAAAAGGGGGTAAGATTTGGGAGGATTTTGGGGGGAAAGACGTTTCCAAACAAACTCTTTCCTAATAATAATAATACCAGTGTTAGACGTTTGGTGGTAGCAGCGAAAGTCCAAGGGCAAAGGGTAAAATAGTTTGTACCTTGGGGAAGTTTTAACCTAAGCTGGTAAAAGTAAGCTTAGGAGGTTTTCATGCAGGTCCCCACATCTGTACCCTAGCGTTCAGAGTGGGGAAGGAACCTTGACATATGCTCATGAAAAAGACTAATGCAATCTTATGATGCATCAGGTGAGGTATTTCCAGTAGATATAGGAAGTGTTTGTGCCATTACACAAGGCACTGGTGAGCCCTCATCTGGAATACTGTGTGCAATTCTGGTCTCCTGTGTTTAAGAAAGATGAATTTTAACTGGAACAGGTGCAGAGAAGGGCCATTAAGATGATCAAAGGAATGGAAAACATATCTTATGAGAGGAGAGTTTGGCTTAGAATCATAGAATATAAGGGTTGGAAGGGACCCCAGAAGGTCATCTAGTCCACCCCCCTGCTCAAAGCAGGACCAATTCCCAGTTAAATCATCCCAGCCAGGGCTTTGTCAAGCCTGACCTTAAAAACCTCTAAGGAAGGAGATTCTACCACCTCCCTAGGTAACGCATTCCAGTGTTTCACCACCCTCTTAGTGAAAAAGTTTTTCCTAATATCCAATTTAAACCTCCCCCACTGCAGCTTGAGACCATTACTCCTCGTTCTGTCATCTGCTACCATTGAGAACAGTCTAGAGCCATCCTCTTTGGAACCCCCTTTCAGGTAGTTGAAAGCAGCTATCAAATCCCCCCTCATTCTTCTCTTCTGCAGGCTAAACAATCCCAGCTCCCTCAGCCTCTCCTCATAACTCATGTGTTCCAGCCCCCTAATCATTTTTGTTGCCCTGACCCTGACCCTGACCCTAACCCTAACCAAACAAAGGCTGTTCAGCCTAACCAAACAAAGGCTGAGGGGAGATCTGACTGCTCTCTATAAATAAATCAGAGGGATAAATACCAGGGAGGGAGAGGAGTTATTTAAGTTAAGCGTCAATGTGGACACAAGAACAAATGGATATAAACTGACCAACAAATTTAGGCTTGAAATTAGATGAATGTTTCTAACCATCAAAGAAGCGAAGTTCTGGAACAGCCTTCCAAGGAGGGAGCAGTGCGGGTAAAAAAAACCTAACTGGCTTCAAGACTTAGCTTGATAAATGTATGGAGGGGAAGGTCTGATGAAACTGCCTACAATGGCCCGTAGCCGTTCTGCGATGGCTAGTAGCAAATATCCCCAAAGGCCGGTGATGGGACATTAGATGGGGAGGGCTCTGAGTTACTACAGAATTCTTTCCCATGTGTCTGGCTGTTGGGTCTTGCCAAAATGTTCAGGGTCCAACTGACTGTAATATTTGGGGTTGGGAAGGAATTTTCCTGCAGGTCAGATTCACAGAGATCCTGGAGGATTTTTGCTTTCCTTTCCAGCATGGGGAACACGTCTCTTGCAGATTTAAACTAATGTAAATGGTGGATTCCCTGTAACGTGAAGTCTTTAAACCATGATTTGAGGACTTCAGTAACTCAGTCAGAGGTTAGGGGTCTATTACAGGAGTGGGTGGGCGAGGTTCTGTGGCCTGCAATGTACAAGAGGCCAGACTAAACTTAGTGGTTCTCAACTTATTTATCATTGTGGGCTGCATACCTGCACACCGCTGGGTGGCAGGGTAACCCGGATCCCACTCTGCTGGGCAGCCGGGAACATATGCGGGCCACAATGTGTTACTGGGCCACAGGGGCTGGGTGGCAGGGCAGGCGCAGTCCAAACTCTAAGCTTGGACCCCAGACACCTGCCAACAGGGCTGGCAGGCTGCCCGCCCTGGACCCCCTACCCCATGGGGCCAGCTGGCTGGGAGCCTCTGACTCCGTGAGGCTGGCCAGGAGCCCTGGACCCCCACCGCATGGGGCCAGCTGGCAGCCCTGGATCCTGGAGCTTGTGGGACTGGACGGCAGCCCCGGATCCTGGAGCCCATGGGGCCAGCCAGGAACCCTGGACCCCAGATCCCCACTGTGTGGGGCTGGATGGCAGCCCCACACCCCCAACCCCGCGAGGCCATTGGGCTGGCCTTTAGCACACAGCTGAGCTAATTGGGCTGTGTGCTAATTGTGCCGCATGCAACCTGCAGGCAGCAAACCGCTGGACTGATCATGATGGTCCCTTCTGGCCTTAAAGTCTATGAGTCTATTAAATAAAAACTAGAAGTGTTTAGATAAATGGACTAAGAATTGTCTAACTTTATGCTAGCTTCTGTAAGTATCTCTGTATGACTGCTGAAATGTTATTCTGTTGTTATACCTCAAAATTGGTGAAGACTTTTACTGAACATTCATTTAAACATTTTTAGAGCACTCTAAGATTTAAACTTACTGGGGGGAGACAAGAGTTCCAGGTTGTTGTTTCATCACTGCTTGTACTGATGCTGACATTACAGTTGTCAATCTGAGATGCACTCAGTCCGTGTGAGATCCCATTATCCTCTAGCTCTTCATTTTGTTGTCTCTTCATACTAGCCAACATCTGTAGTTCAGATGCACTCAATATGCTTGGCTGGTAGTTTCTCCAATCATACTCCTATGAAATAAAATTGCACATGCAACAGTTAATCTAGAAAGGATAATGGAAGAGAATACATGAACAAAACAGATCACTTGGATAAGCCTAAATATATTTTCAAGAAGAAGCTAACCTAGAAGGAGAAAAGCAAAATATTTAGTAGACAGGGTTAATGAACAGACTCCTTGTTCCACTCTGAAGATCAAGCATAAATACTTCCACAGATTCATAGATAAGAAGCAACATAAAAACAAATACTGCTATGGAGGGCAGGTTGAATCAACAGTGCATGGTGAATCTGCTGTTCCTCATAGAGACTACAATAAGGTTTAGACAAAAAAAATCAAGGTAACTTAACTTGGACTCAACCACATGTTTACCATGGTGTCATAAAGGTCACAAAAAAGAAAATGTATGTAGTTTCACACAAACTATAGCAAACACAGGGTTTTTAAGACAGATCTGGATTCTGGAAAGATATATTGGCCACTTGGTAGCATAAAGTGACATTTATTTTAAAATGTACATTTTAGTTCATGTTTTTGATCATTTAAAAGAGGTTGGTTCATAGGATTTCTAAAGTGCTGCAAACCTCCATTAGCTATTGTGTGGCCTGCATTACATTCGTGAGGCTGACCTGTGGCACACATGGAAACCTCTATGACAGAAATGTGAAAGCTCACCATTACCTGTGTTGAAATAGTCTTTTCAGTGAAAAATAAAGTTTTTAAATGAGGCTGCAGGGATACCTGCTTCCCAAAAGAGGAAATCTAAGAACTAAGGGGGACTGCTGAAGCTTCCATTTCATTCAAAGGTGGGTTTTCATTTGATTTTTTAAAGAGCTGTTCATTGGAGCTTCAAAAGTGACCGAAAAATTTTTACTTAAAAAGTGAATCCAAAATAACGTCGAGGATTTCAGGTACTTGAAATTCCTATAACATGATGTTGTGCTGCAACCCACTTCAGTACCACAAATGGCGTTAGTGATCGTAGTCCAGTTCCTATAAACAGATCTTAACATCAGAAGTAACAATTGCTGTCATCCTTATCAGTAATTTCACCAGTGATGTTTTGGTTACCTCTCACATGACAGGCAGTCCCATCAGGCTGGATTTGAGGCACACTGGTGAGGCAGCGCAAGGAAACTTGCCTTGACACTTATATTGTGTTTGTTGTGTTGAGAGACACATCAGCCTCCAATGCCATCAAACTGGCAACTTCAATAAGCTTTACATTTGCTTTTAAAAATGTCTGTAAACATCTAAGGGCCTGTTTTATTAAAAGATGATATGGGCTCAATTACAGGGCAGGTTTCAGAGTAACAGCCGTGTTATTCTGTATTCGCAAAAAGAAAAGGAGTACTTGTAGCACCTTAGAGACTAACCAATTTATTTGAGCATGAGCTTTCGTGAGCTGTAGCTCACGAAAGCTCATGCTCAAATAAATTGGTTAGTCTCTAAGGTGCTACAAGTACTCCTTTTCTAATTACAGGGCAGACGCCTAAGATATACAAGTTTCAAAAGATTTTGCACACAGTCAACAACTTCCCCTCTCTTTAAAGAGATCAAGAAAGAAAGGGAAATCTGATCGCCTAGATTTGTACCCATACTGCTTAGCTTTTCACATGCAACCAATTGTAAAATGGATCACTTTCACTACAGATGATTACATATCACTCAACAAAGAAAATGATTTAGATCTCCATGTGGTGCTTTCCTCTGTCTTGGATGCTTACCAGTACCTCTGGTAAAGAGTCCTTTATGGAATACAGGGTTGTTGACAGGAATAGCATTATTGTTCCTCAGCTCCCCTTCCACTCCAGGTTTTATTGTCCTCAGGATCAATTAGCTCAGTCCAGAGCCAGACACTGCAGGATTATGGGGATAGTACACCACTTCCTCATAAAAATGAGTGCTGGGATATGGCCCTGTGTACTGAAGCACAACTACACAGCATGCAGCACACTACACAACAACAGGGGTAACGGAAATTTGGATGAAGGACTCAGGGACAAGCCCCCCCACCCTTTTTTTTTAAACAAGATGATCACACAGCAGACATGACCTTACTTTTAACTCAGTTTCTAGAATGCTATTGCTTTAATATTCAGTTTCAAAGACAGTAGGTACATAGCATATTTTACTTGTGCATTGTGGTCACCATTAAAGAGTCAACAGCTACCACCCAATGGTGTCCAAGATAATGTTATTTCCTGTTTTAATTACAGTAACGAAATTATGGTCTCTGTTGGCAAATGAAACTTTTTAAGGGTGATCACTGTTTTACAGTTATAATATCAGGAAAGTCTGAGCTAAATCATTTGTAATTTTTGGATGCTATGCAACAGTCAGACTCAAAAACCAGAAGCAAATAAGGAGAACCCATTTATTATTTTTGAAAACGTCATCTAATTAGGCCAGCCTTACAATTTTTTGAGCCTGACTGTTGCATTAGCTCAAACTTTCCATATTATAGCACTGAAAAAAAAATCCTACAGTGCCCTGAGCCCATTGATGGAGTCACAGTGCCCGAAATTATGCCCAGCAAAATGCACTCAACTCTAAAAATCACAATGCCAAAAAGCTGAAATATACAAGACAAAATATATTTCAGAACATCAAGATCTCTTTGAGTTGACAACTAGTTGTTATTTCCTGGCAGTTCATTCTTGAAAAAGGCTTTGTAAGCTGGAACATTTAAACTTGCTGCCCCCTCAACTGTTTGAAAAACAGCTAGTAAGTCAATGACAAAGCTTTGGTATGCGTCTCTCTGCCCATTGTTATTAATTATTATTATTATTTATGTACAACACCCACAAAGAGCTAGGTGGTATTCACATACAGAAAGCCAAAGTTCCTGCCCCAAAAGCATTTTAAATACTTTGATCTAGAGTTTTTCAGCTTTTCAATTTTTCAAGTGCACATATACACTCATTTTGCAGTTTTTCTGAACCATACAACCACGAAATAAGCCTTGTCCATTTCCCCAAGTTTATAGTCAATTATATAATTTTGGCTCTTTTTGTGTCTTTTGCCTTTGCTCCTGTTGTTGTATTTATTGTCTTTTTACCCTTATTTATTAACCTCCCCATCACCTCTGCCAGCCTTTTGTCTTGTGTTGGACCACCTCAATTTGTTACATATGTATACAATTTATCAATGTTTTTACAGAGTGTTTGTTTTTAGAGTGCCTTTATATTGTAAAGCACCTGGAGTGGCTTTTGCAGTTGGGAATGGCAGTTTTAGTAATAAATTTATGTTAACCTATTTTAAAAAGTGTAAATTTTGTATTACAATGTTTTTTTTCAGTCCAAGCCTCTTTCATCACTGTCAAAAAGTGCTTGACACTCTGATCCAAAGAAGATTTGCATCAAAATAACAGAACCAATTTAAACAAATTTTGAAAGGGGGAAAAGAAATGTGCCTGCAACCTGACAACCAGCAAGCCAAGTTTCAGTCTGAAGTGATCTGAGGTGGTCAAGATATTACTACAATACAGGGTTTATAATGAAAGGTCACTAGGGGATGACATCTAATTCTAAAGTCTTACTGCTAAAAATTCTCCATTTTTATCACACATCTCAAGCCCTTTGCCATATTCCTCTATAGAGAACAGGTCTTTGGATTATCAGATTTTCCTACAATATAGTCTTAAACACTGGGACACTATTTTCTGAGACAGCCAGCCAGGTAGTCTTGCCAAGTCTTCCATGGTCCACAAGATTTTACATCATTGCAGAATCCAGGAGTCAGGGATGTGAATGTGCAAGATTACTGTTACCACTTGAGACTAAATGTGATCTACAAGAATTCCCTTGTTCGGTCCAATGTGGAAAAGCAATGGGACTTAAACAATCTTCTCTCTGTTCAGAATGTTCAGATGTCTCAAACATTTACGGTTAACCAGTGACTTTCAGGAAATCAGTGCAGAAGTAGCTATATTTGTCCTGATCGGGGAGATTACTTTGGTTTCATAATATTGCACAGAAGTTGAATCAATTCTCTCTATACTTCTCTGATAAACTGGATAAGGTCTCCTACCTGAGGAGGTGATACTCACCCAGGGCTGGATTTAGGGGCAGGTGACCCAGGCAACCTGGTTTTGTTGTTAGCGGCAAAAGGGAAAATAGAATGTTTGAAGTAACATGTTTCCGGTATTCCGTAGGTGGATTCATTTTTCACTGACCTCCTAGAACGTTCTGGACCTTTGCAGAATCTCATGGAGCCTTCCAGACTTTCTGAGAACTACGTTTTCCTCAAACCTTCTAGAATGTTGTCAGCCATTCCCCCATAGGTATATATGGGGTGGGGCATCGCCAGTCAGTGAGATGTAAATACAGATTTACAGATCCTAGCATGCAAATTTATCATCTTATATGACAGGAATAAATCAGGCATGTAAATCCTGCAAAGTCGCGAAATAGACTACAAATACAATAAAAATAAGGTATTCAAAAGTTTAACAAATGGGGGGAGGGCTCCTAAAGACGCTCCTTGCCTGAGGGCTGGCCCTCTACTCACCTTTGTGAATCTGGACACATTTTAATCCGGGAATTTTTGCACCTGATAGTCTTTCTAATCTATTTTTAAAGGCATCCATTCTTATGATTTCTGGGTAACTGTCCTGAACATTTTAACATTGTATTTTTAGCTCCAGGCTCTTCTCCTGTAGTATGTGATAACTATCACCACAGTTTAATCCTACAATAGCACAAGCCAGATTCTCTAGACCCTTACAGAATAGAATACGTATGCAATAATCTGAGGTTCTATTAGTAACATCAAGACATTAGTGTGAAAAACCTGCTTTTTCATTTTTTGTGTCAATCATCTATGTGAGCTTTAGCTACTGTAAATATCTATTTTATTAATCTTGCTGAAGTTGTTAAAAGCTTTTCTGTCGATTCTCCCACTGATTAACTTTTTGTTTTATCGGAACTTCCATCATATTTGTCAATCCTCCTATGTAGTGACTGACTGGCATGGAGTTATTCAGATGGCATGAACTCATGAAACACC